ATTCCAATGGTACCGGTGCTGGCAGCTCTCTGATGCATGGCGGTAGAGGGATGGAGAGGCCTCGCTTCATCTTCAGTCTGCCTTCCCTCTTCGTCGAGGTTGATGCCAAGACCGCTCATCTGCTCGACCATCTGCATGTCTCGCTGTCGGGGGGTTTTCCCGGACTTCTTCGCTTCCTTTTTCTTCTCCCTGAGCTTGGTCTTTTGGCGGAGTTTGCGCCGTTGCTCGTGGGCATGCTTCAGTTCAGCCTTCTTCTTCTCAATCTTCTGTTCTCGATCGCGTTTCTGCTTCTCCTTCTCTTGTTCCCTAAACTGGCCTTTGGCATGGGCTAGATCGTAGCTCAGGCCAAGGGAGAGTAGTTTCTCCCTCCGCGTCGTACATGTGGCGCGGATAACTTCTTCGGGGGTTGGATTATTGACGTCTCTTGTCGCTTTGATTCTGAGTAAAACAGTGTAATTGCCGGCTTCAAGATCCAATTCGGTGCTCACCGACCGGTTCATGTAGTAGGTCCCATTGCTGCGAACAATGTAGTCTTCTTCGTCGTCCTTGTGCAGGCGGAACTGAAGATGGAATTCATATTGACCCTCAAGACCACGGAAATAGCGATCGTCAAGCTGACTCAGCACGATGACAACCGGACTGGGCTTCGACAGGTGGATCTTGAATTTGGTGTCCAGATAATCGACGGACCACGGGACGTTGACGCTGGTCCATTGCTGAGAAACTGTCCATTCGGGTCCAAAGAGACGGGTACGGTCAAAGTGCTGGTAGTGACGTAGAAGGTCTTTAAAGGAGATCCAGAAAACTCCATCATCTCCAAATTTGTGGTTCAACTTCTGCATCCACTCTGGGGTCCACTCTTCCGATCCGTCGCTCCAAGGTCCTTTCCATTCGCACTTTCCCCAAGGATTCCGGAGTTTCAGAAGTCGCTGCCCATCAATCTCCCGAGCTTCCATGATGGAGTACGCATGTTTGTCTTGTATCCCTTTTCGCTCAGCGCCCATTTGGCCACATCCGAAAAGGAACGTATTGTTGACATTCATGAGCTCTTCTCTCCAAAACTTGTCCTTGTCAAGAATGTCTGTGGCGAACACTTCGGAGGTGACTCCGCCAGTAAGGTCTTCAATGCCCTCGCTAACTCCTGTCAGTTCTGGCAAGATGATGGATAGGAGGCCACTTACCCAACGAACCCACCCTCGATTGTCTTGTAGTCTCCATGGGCCTTGGCATAGGCCTTCTCCAGCAGTGGTAGCCAGGTCTCGTTGGGATCACTGCATTGCGCAAAATATAGGGCCCTTGACCCAGTCTGCATAACAGTCCGGTATTCCTCGTCAGGACTCTTGCGGTTCTGCAACTCCAGCCATTGGTATCGCTCGAGTGTAGCCTCATCGAAATCTTCTTTAATAAGATAAAGCTTGTCGTCAATAACCTCGGAGATCCATTCTCCATCTGTACCACGTCAGTCACCGTTTCTATAAAAAGAAACGTGACGGGATCGTTACCTCTGTGGAACACGAACCCATATACGCCCACCTGTTCGTCCCGGGCGACACAAACTTGTTGAATCAGCCCATCTTTATTCGCCATGGTGCATAACGCTGACATGAGCCAGCAATCGCCGTCGTTGCCTTGTCGCACATCGTTTGCAGTAGCTCCACCGATGAAGAAGCGTGGTTTATCAAAAATGTCCTGATATTCCGAGTTTTGGTCAGCAAGGGAACAAGAAGCCAAGAAAAGCGCCAGGGTTGGTTACCTCCACTCTTTTCACCGACATGGGCTGGAACGTGCATTGAGGTTCGTTCAAAGCTGTGAGACAGTCGGGTGGAATCTCGGGAGACGTGTGATCTCGTTCTCGAAGAGAGGTCTGCCATCGCTTGAAGTCGGCTTCGATGTCAAAGTGGGGGTCCCGATATTTCTGATTCAATCTCCTACACTCTTTTACGATCTTGTCGACTTTTCTCTTGCAGGCGTCGACAGCCTCTTGGTAGGATGCTACAGCATTCTGTCCGGGTATGGAGCCCTTGGGGGCGTGGGCGGCTGCTCGTTTTGCGTAGAGGTTATCTGGAAGGATGGTGAAGATCTTGCCTGGATGTTTTGTGGTGAACTTGTCCCAGAACTCGTCGATACTCTTCTGGGGGGGTTGCTTTCTCATTCTGGGTTTGGGTCGCTGTCGTAGGGGCTCGTGGGCCATAGAGGGAGCTCTGGAGTGTGGACGGGTTATGTTTACCATATCATTGGATATGGACTCCATTGCACACGATGCTAGACACTGGAGACAGAAGAGGAGAAGAGGGTGAAGGATGAAGCTGAAATTGAAAGGACTCCATTTGAGAAAGGCAACGGGTATATAAATGTAGAAAGGGTGTGAGAAAGAATGTGCGGCTGATGCCTGCACACCTGATGAGAGAGCCAGAGGGGAGAGAGCTCGAGCTTCCTTGCCGTGAGTATTTCGAGAACGGAAGGGGAAAAAAGAGCGGGGCGGTAAGCCAGCACAGACGGCCACAAGAAAGTCGGCGCAGCTGCCAACGAGCGGGGGGGTCAACCGACCTTCAACCCGAGCGTCAAACGGGGGCCGCCGCCCGACCGCGACTCTCTCTCAACCTCCTCCATCAATAAGTTACAACTCTCAAAAGCGAAAAGGCGGACAGCAGGCATCCACATGGCGCCAGGTAACGTAACTATGCTTGCTGCACACACCCCATGCAGCAAATATCGTGCAGCAGTCGAGGCCCCTCTCCTCCATACAGACCCCAATCGGAATTAATCACGATGCGCTGAATGACTGATCCCAAGAAACGGGTGGCATCAACCTTGTCAAATAACCATACGCGGTCCCTGCAAGCGTTAGACTGCTACATCATCTTTCCCCAGCCTCACCGACTTCTGCTCTCTCTCTCTCTCTCTCTCTCTCCCTCTCTCTCTCCCCCTCTCTCCCCCCCCCACTCCTCCCCCCCCAATATCAAATTGTACGCTCCTTTTCTTTTCCGCTAAAAACAATCCAGTGACACACTCCTTGGGCAAAGATCATGCAGAGTGATTCTACGTCACAATGACTGCACCCTCAATGCTTCACCGCAGATACAGATGTCCTCATCTCGTCACTCATATAGCTCAACTTTCTCTCTAAACAGTAGAGAAATAGTGTTCCCCAAACCATCCAATGATCTCGCTTATCTAGGAAGTCTTCTAGAATGGTGCCCCCTTTGCTTATTTCACTCGGCTCATGGTACGTCAGCTGTCCTCCAACTTGTAAGCCTTTGGCATATGAGATGTGCGTTATGCGTGTTATGGGACAACGCCTATCCCATACTCCCCCGTGGCCTTCTCGCAATGCTCGGTTCCTGCGTATTCAAGGCAGACATCGTTCTCTCTGTTACTCAGTCTTACACACCATCTTATCAGTGATGTGCACGCAGTGAGTTCGCCGACAATACATAGCTCTAAGTTGCTCGTATAACCCGAGCCGTATTCTTTCAATCAGTGCAACCACAAATCAGTCAGCCCAATACGAAGAAGCCCTGGCTCAAGTGTACTTTTATTCCATATCCTGGACCGACAAGACGGACCTATACGGAAAAAGAGGAAAACTGACCCATCCCTGATTACAATGTTAAAATCTTACTTCCTACATTTAGAATATATCCGTTATCGATAAGGTATATGTCCACCGTGATGACCGAAAATCTGATCCTGGAGTTCAAATGTCTTACTGTGTCCATGTCCCTGGGATGTTGGTTACCGTTACTGAGCGTGCCTGCATATGGCAGTACTAGAGATATACAGAGGCTGTGCTTGTCACAGAAAGGGGCGGGCTGACCACAAGGATTAAAAATTTTCAAAGTACCGCTCTCTGCGTCATCTGAGTCAGATATGGACGTTCGTCAAAAAGGGCGCCAAAGCAAAAAGCGACTTCATTTGTCCATCACCTATCTGAAGCCTTGCAACGTGCAGTCCTAGGAGATTCGGGTGTTCGCTATCGATCGGAACATCCCAGAGCATGCCAGGTTATTCAGCTGCAATGTCTCACCGTTACGTTTCCAATGTACCCAATAGCGTCTCGGCCCGAGGCCGTGAGTCAAAGTCTTGGATGTACTAACAACGCAATTGCAGGCATGGGTCCGCTCCTTTTATGATGATTCAGCCCACCAAGGTACAAACGTCTGCATGTTTGCTGATACAATAGTCTGATCTTGTCATCAGCGACTCCGCGGTACTTATTATAATGCCATCTGACAACCTCTAGTATACTTATCGTGTCGACTCTCCAATGAGATAAAAGCCTCCTGCTTGTAATCAGCATTGGTGAGTACCACTCGTTCTTAGGCCCATCTATTCGCACACTCGGTGGTCTTTTTTGATGGTGATCGAGCATTCACTTAATCTCCGGATCGGTTGCATAATTCTGGATATCCTCAAAAGAGCCAGGAGACTTTTGTGAAGCCCAGTGGAAAGTGTTTCCAATTCCCACTCTATGTAGCCATCTTCTTCAAGAACTCGACAAGCGGTGAGTGAGACATGGCAGAATGTAAGCGGAGTAGCTCCGCACCAATAACATTTAAGCTTAACTCTTAGCGCGACCGCCAGTCACATCTCGTCCCGTCTTGACTTTCCCTAGCACAGGCGAAATCCGAAACCTTCAAACGCAACGGCAAAAGAATATTTTACAGATATTAAACTATAGTGTATCGCCAGCAGAATTTTGACAGCCAACAAGGCTCATTCTAATCTAAAAAAAAAAAAAAGTCCAACAATATCCACAGCAACCTCGTGTGGTTGAACAGCATAATTGAATCCCGAACCTAAGTGGGAACCAACAAGATATTCTCCACGTGCAACACACACGCCCCCACTTTCGGCCCCTCCTTCCGTCCCGGCCTCGCACGGATGCCAACTATGCGCATCGGAAAAACATGTTTGCTTTTACTCAACTGTGAAGCTTGTATTTTAGTCGGTTATAATGCTAAAATTTAAAAATGCTAATAACCATCTCATAGAGGTCTGGTCGATTAGCTCAGCTGGTTAGAGCGTGGTGCTAATAGTTTCCATACTTGTTAACGCCAAGGTCGTGGGTTCGATCCCCACATTGACCTCTTCTTTTTGTTCTCTGTCTTCCTTTTTAAATCTCACAAGTTCGACCAGCTGCAGGTTCTTTTTGATTCCTGACCGCTCGCTCTCTTGAGGGTCGCTAGATCGAATTTACATTTTTTTTTGTTCTCCCGATCTTTTACTCTCCTTGCTGCTCCTCTCCTACCTTTCTTCCTTTTTCCTATCCTTTTCGATGTTTTATATATATACTCTGTAACAGGAAAGGTCACATGAATCTCGGCTCCTTGCCCATGTTTCTAATACCCCTCATAGAAACAAGGCTAGAGGAGAAACACAATGCACAACGTTACACAAAATACATACATACTGTCGGAGATAGCCTTCTAGTTCTACTCCAGTATTCAGAGTGATCTCGGGATATCACGTGCTTTGTGTGCAGAGGCCTGCCAAAGCACTGCACAAAAACTAAACAGATTCACTCCCTCACAAAGAATACAACTCATCCTTTGATCGATCATTTGATTGTCACATACATTCCAACTATAAGCCTGTTGTGAGAAAGAGATGACATGAGGTGGACGTATGTGCTGCGTTGATGATTGTGTGGAATGTTCTCTGTGTACCTAAGCAGAGGCTGTGAGGAGTATTATATATATACATACATAAGCAGGGAGCCAAGGGTCATGTGACCTTCAGGCTAACACATTAACATATATCTGTCCCTCATTTCAGGGTTACATATCCCTCGTCCCTTCGTTCACCCTTCCTGAAGCGCCTTTCCTTTCCTTCCCTATCTTCTTATAAGATAAATTCAGTTACCATTCTAGGACATATCTAGTGCAGGCTCACTCTCTTCGTATATCGACCGAAGCGTTAGAATGACATGCGGCTTCCACTAGACACTAAAATGCCAACCAATAATGTCCTTTACATTCATCATCAAATACCGCGCTTCCCTTCCCTTTCATTCCCTCTCCTACTTGTTTTGAAATGCTGGGCAGTTGGATGAACTTGGGTAACAGGAAGATTTCTCACAATCAAATGATCGGTGAAAAGACGATGTATTTTTGAGAGAGTGAATCTACCAATGTGTGTACAGTGCCAAGGCCTGCTCTTGCGAGGCCTTTGCATATAAAGCACGTGACATGCTGAGATCACCCTGGATACAGGAGTAGAGCCATAAGGCTACCTACCACAGTTTCCCTTGCCGAATTATTTTTTCGAAGACCAAAAATACCGGTTTTGTCCCGTTGGGTGAGGTGAAGTGGATTTTTGCGGTCAGATCTGTATTGCCCGGAGGCTTTATATGCAGGCGAGGACGCTAAAAACAGGACACAATATAAGTCAGCCTTCCAATGAAGGACCATAGTGCAGCCCAGCCCCCGCAGTACTTCCGGTCTCACTAGCTCAATCCGTAGTCTTTTTTATGTTGCTTTCATGGATAGATGGAATTGCATTTTGGCGTACTCTTCTCTCAGCTCTAGAAATTCAAATGACAAGTCCATAATTTTCTAATACATATGTATGCATTTGGCGTAGTTGATAACGGTCAGATTAAAGGGTGTGGAGAGAAAATTTCGCAGATTGCTTCTGTTGCCTTTTAGAGTCAATTAAAGTACGGAAGTTGATGCTGCTGTACGACCCCATGCCGGTTTGTGTTTCTATTTGGATGGAGCCTTATCATCATATTACATTCATATGAAGAGATACTTATTACCAGGGCCTATGGTTGCAATAATCACTGATCTAGCATTGCTGAAGCGAAGTCATTCCGGAGACTACTTATTATCCAACTTTCCACCCAGAGAGAAGTGATTTAGAAAATAGTAGGTCCCATGACATAATGTCACTGCTAATGGTATGAACCATACCTTTCACTCTCATCCATCCCTCATCTGAGCATATCCTCTTGAACTGACGCACCCATGCTAAGACCAGACCACCAACGAAATAACGGTCAAACCGGAACAACAGGATGACAACCCCCTCCAGTTACTTTAATTTGCGCATATCACCTCAAGAAGCTCCGAGAGCAAGGATTCCACTTGTATAATAGTATGGTAGTCAAAAAGACGACCAGATATCATCACGAGACCAAGGGCCACGGTCGTCTCTGTGCTTTCACTTTGTTTGGCCTCTGCCGTGAAGCAGTATCCGACCTGGCGCTTCCGGGGGATTGTCACGAGGGAACCGCGCACCAATGGCACTTAGCCTCAGCCTTACCTGCGCCACGACTTAGTCATATGTAAACTCCTCTCAGTACAGAGATAGCTCGGTAGAATTCAATCTTGTATTCACCTCACAGGTTCAAAGTGTAGTTATCACACGGCTATATCTTTCCCCCTTAAGACACGTCCATTATGTTGAGCACAGGCAAGCAGCGGAGTGAGTTGCATGTGAGAAGGGGTGAAAGGGATGTTTTGTTGATTGTTGCACTGATAGAGAAGAGGAAAGAAGGCTATATACGAGGTATCACATGAGGTAATCTATGATACTTGGCAATGTTTAACTCCCCAGCTTAACACTCCCCCTCTGTGTCATAAATAAAACTACCCTACTTCCCTAGCCCTCATTAAAACTTAAAAAGCTCCGTGGGAAAAAGGACAATAGAGTTGCTAGGGAGGCTACCACCCAATAGAGAAACAATACCAGACTCCCCCATAATAAGGACGCTCATAGGAGGTAAACAAACAATGAATTTTGGAGGGCTTTTAGAAAAGAGAGGCGCAAGATCTGGGCTGCTGCTGTTGTTAAACTGTTGGATGTATGGTATTCAGTCATGGGCTTCTTCTAGTCCGAGTGCGCTGCGGAACTCGAAGAAAGCCTAAGCAGACAGTGACTTAGTAGTCCATATGCAATTTGTTGATAGATGGGCTTGTATTTGAGGTCGAGTAACCCTTTCTCCTTGAGATCGCGGTTTGAAGCTTTGCTGGATCGCAAAGTGCTTAGAGCGGGCGTGGGCAGTTGCCTTTTGAGTGAGGGTAAGCGACCCTTGATTGTCGCAAAAGACCACAGTCGCCGTTTGTGCAGCCTTATGTTCGCCTTTCAAGCTTTCTGTAGCTCAGCAAGTAATTGGCGCAGCCACATAGCTTCCCGAGCGCCGTGAGTGAGAGCATTGTGTTCGGCTTCGCAAGATGAGAGGGCCACTGTTGGCTGGCGCTTCGATGACCAGCTGATTGTACTGCTACCAATGTTGAATGTGTACCCTGAAGTGGAGTGAAGAGTCGCCAAGTCTACCCCCAATCGGTGTTTGTGTATCCAACAAGGGGTTTCAGGTCACCTCGATAGCCATGTAGTGACTAAGGAAGGAGACAGCGTATGCAATGTCAGGACGAGTGCCTAGCATGAGGTACATGAGGAATCCAATAGCTTTTCCATAGATGTAGTGGTCCTCTTCGGAGGCTTTAAAGTCAACTTCCGGCGGCGGAATGGGAGCAGTTGTCATAGGTGTCTTGTTGGGATTGCAGTCAATCATACCGAAGTCCTCCAGAACTCGGAACAGGTACGCCTTCTGGTTAAGGCGGATTGCCCGGTTCTTACAACCGCACTCGATCTGCGTTCCCAAGTAGTAATAGCGCTCCCCCAAATCCGTCATATTGAAGCGGGCTTTGAGCTTGGCTTTTACAGTCTGAATTTCGGGAAGGTAGGCGCTGCAATAAGCAGGTCGTCGACATAAACCGCGATATAGTTGCATTTTCTGACGAAAGCACTTAAGTCTGCATTGAGCGACCAAAAGCCAAGGGTATACAGGAAGTCCGACAGGGTTTGATACCATACTTGTAAAGATTGTTTTAGGCTATACAGGACTCGTTTTAGAAGGCAGACATAATCCATCCTCTGTGAATTCAGTTGGTTATTCCACAAAGATCTCTCTTCTGTGATCATTCCGTAGAGGAAAGCCGTTTTAACGTCCATATGGTGGATTTCTAAGTCAAAACCCGCATCAATAGCGAACGGGGCCTTATAGTTCATAGGCTTGACCAAGGAGGCAAAGGTCTCGTTATAGTCAATCCTAGCACATTGCTCAAAGCCCTTGACTACTCAGTGCGCTTTATGCCGAAGGATCTCGCTATTTGGTCTGAGTTTGAGCCTGTATGCTCATTTCACCCGTAACATTTTCCGGTTGCCAGGGCGGAGAACGAACGTCCAGTCTTGTTGGCTTCGAGGGATTGGAGCTCCTCCCTCATAGCGTCCCGCCATTTGTTCCAAGAAGCGCCATGCTTTGCTTCAGCACTATTCGTATTGGAGTGGCAATCTCGCCATGCTGAATCATCTGGTAGATCAGCTAGACTATCCAAGTAACATATGTACGTGTTGCATATACTTCTATACGTTTCTATATGCTTCCGCTCCTTCCCCAAACAGATCATGTAATCACATGATCTCATGTATATATTCATCGCTCTTTTCATCATAGATAGAACCAATCCATTCGTTCCAAAGACAATATTTGTGAGCACTTCCGCATGCTAAATACAACCTCCATCAGGTTATGAGCCCGGCATCGTGAAGCTCATTTATCGCTCGTTTCTACGACCCAATCAAATTGTCTATTGAATTGATTCCTCACGGTTGTCAACATGTCGAAAGATACCGGAGTACCAAAGCTCAAAGGAGCAACGAACTTCGACATATGGATGTTCAGGCTCCAGAAGCACATGACCGCCAAAG